AGATAGCCCTCGTGTAGCTTTGCGCGAAATTCAAAACAAACACAAATTTTCACGACCATCAAGACAAACATAAATATGTATAGGACTAATTACGTTATATTCAAATGATTTTGAATATGGAAATAAGCAAGTAATCTGAAAGACAGCCGAAATAAAGTTTCGGTGGCATGATATGTATCAGAACTACAGTTTTTGACATTGTTGGTAGTGTATTGCTACCGAAAACTGATCACTTTCAGGAAAGGTATGTAACAGCCATTTCTGATGCAAAGTATTCATATACCTAAATCTATTGATGGCTCGCAGTTAATACTGAAGTGGAGGCAGGCGATATATAAACTTCATCTCTAAAAATACAGAACAGTAAAACAGATACTTTAAGCGACCCGATTTATTTATACGTGAATTCGAGTCATCGGTCTTTCAAAGCTGCAAACACATTTGTAACGTCGTCGTGCCAGACAAGGTGCAACAATTGTTCGAACTTTAAAACTCCGAAATAATCTCCAAATCGAAATAAATCGTCGCATGTTAACCAAGTCACTGCAGATCATAATGAAATTCACTTCTAACTGTTTATATTTTTAAAACCACCTCAAAATAAAAAAACATTAAATCCATATCATTCTTTCATCACCACGACCTTGCATCCTCCTTGTATTTGCAAAAACTTCTTTAAATGATTTTCACTGGTTGTTTAGACTTTGTTTGGCTGCATAAGCTGTGCGGTTGGCCTCAAAATCATTTTTAAACTCGGTTAGAAGGCTCGGCTTCTCTCGGCTGTTTCCGTCACAGCATTGAGAAATTGTACATATACAAAAAGAGCCGAGAAGCGCAACCCTTTGTGTCTCACACTGCAAGATGTCACTTCGATAAATAGCATGTAGCTGGACAAGATTTTTAAACGTTTTTCTAGAAAATGTGCAGTTTTCAAGAATTTTACAATAGAAAATATTATAGATATTAATAGAAAAAAATATATAAAGGGCATGACCTCCTTTGACCAATTGCCCTTGCTCAGATCATAAATATGTACTCAGATCGGAGATTTTGAATCCCCAAGACTGGGATATCCTCTGTACCTAATGGTATTGGAAAATAAAATAATTTGTATCAACTTGGAACAAAGGGTCTACCTAAAAAGAGACCTGCAAAAAGTCATATCTTAATCATGGTAAGCAAAGAGAGGCGTTTTAAAATGGGTGAGAATTAACGAACAGAAATGCCACTGGCAATTGAACTGCCGTACACGCGCTCCCAGGCAACAGTTGTAATATAATCAAAGGAGTGTAACCACCTGGAAACAAGGTTAACAGGGTATGGGTTCACCAGTATAAGGTTTCCAGTCATACCAAACATACCTCAAGCAGCGGGAAAATGAAACCGGTAGCCATCAGGCCCAGACGAAATATGTGGCGCCGAAATATGACGAAAACCGCGGAATACACTGACGTCCATGGAAAATGTACGAAAAACAGAATTTTCGAGGAATTGAATGGATTCAAGTTGTGAGAAAAAAATATTCCCTTCCGCCATAAATACAAAAGCACTGGCATAATCATGAACTACATAAACTTTAAAGCTAGTAATCATATAAATAAATGAGCTACATCTGGGTTCACATTTTAATATTTGCACGGTGCCTTGCTATAAAAGTTGTATTTCCAATTACACTCGAGCACAGTTTGACAGCTAACAGTATATCATTATCATTATTATAAAAATACTAATGACTCTTAATGAAAATGGCTTTGTTTTGGGACTATTTTTTTTCTTTTGGCACTGCGTAAGTAAACGCTTGTTTTAGTGTGTGCACAGGTGAATACGTTTCCTTCACAAGCGTTCAAAATGCATTATCTAAAGATATACGTTCATGATGCTATAAAAACACGTAGGTTCAAGAAGTCCTAATAGAAATTAATAAGAACCCTATAACCCGAGCGCTTTCGGAAGGTGGACCTTTCGAAAGCGCTCGGGTTATAAGGTTTTTATTAATTTCTATCAAGATATATATATCATCATCACAGTTGGCCAGTATTACAGGGGATTTTCTACCATTATTTTTTCCTTTATGTTTTGAGGGAAATTTAATAATTTTGGGTTAGTTTTTCACGTGTAAGTAAATTTCCTATACTTATTTCTTTAAGTAACGTATAAATGATCTATTTACCCTGAAGTGTGACATGTGCTGATCATGTAAAGCTTACGTTATCTGGTTAAACATTAACTTACAATTTAAGACTTCAACCTTATGGTTAAATTTTCACTTTTGTTACAGAGGTTAATCAACTCTAAATATTCGTATTCGTAAAACAACATAAAATTAAGTGTTCATTTCCGCAAATTTTCCGCGAAAGTTAGGGTGAAATGTTCCGCAGATTCTGTCTAGGTCTGATACTAATCATACTATTCCATACAAAGTCATACTGGTCCATATGCACGGTCGTCATGTAGAGTATGACTGGACATGGTGACATGGACGTTAACAACGTGGTGAGGCTCCAAAATCGTTTTAATATAACGTTCTTTAATATCACTGTTACTGTTCTCTCATGGCAATACTTATTTTAATGTTAAAATCTCGTTAATATTTTATTATTGAAACTAATATTTTTGTAACAATATCATATACGTGTCATGTTTCCCATCCAAAGACATCTAAATCCTCCATGGTAAACAGGAGGATTAACATTACACTTCCTGAACACCCAACAAATCGGTCAACTATCTAATTATTATATTTATTTTTTTCAGTTATAACCGTGCCTGGTCAGCAGCCTTAATCCTTAACAATGATATAAAACCGAAACGTCAGTTTGTAAATAAAATAAACATGTTATTTTTGTTTAATTAAAAAAATAAAATACAAAACAGTTTAGTTCAATGTGCCACATCCTACCCCAAAACTTAGCTGCTACTGTTGTTTGTATTCCTTCCTTAACCAGTACCAAATTCCGTTGGCTTATTCTCATTTATGTTTGTATCTTACATACAAGGTTCAAATGTAACTGAATGCGCGGCAAAGGGTGATTTTTTTTGTTACTCCTGTAAAAGGCAAGATAAAGTTATATCCAACAAGCAGAGATGTAGAAAAAAATTATAATGTGTTGTGGTTACATTAAACTTGTTTATTACATTTTTGTCTAAATAAAACTAAAATATTTTACATCATTTTCACATCGTTCAAGACTGGTACTTTATCTGACTGTTTTAGTATACAGTAGACACAAATAATTATTTCTATTTACACCCACCTCTTCCGCTACAACCCTGATATGTCGTGCTTGACTAGGCGTGTTTCTGAGAGGGAAGGAATAGGCCATACTGGTGTTGCAACTGGATTGTCGGATTGGAAATATCCTCTGAAATATGGGATCTATAGAAATATAAACATTTAGAAAGTATGTTGACGTTTCTGAAACAAACACAGACACTTGTTTACGAAAATTATTGTCTTTTTTCTCCCTCGTTTTTTTTTCAGCCCCTACGTGGCCCAGCGGTTAGCTTGAGAGCTTATAACGCTTTTCTTTCTTAAGCAGAGAAAGCACTTCTGTACTACCTGCCCAAAAGCACTTCTGTACTACCTGCCCGATGAGGGCACAAAACTACAAGTATTTTTTTAAAAAATTAGTTGCTATGTTTGATATTTAAAACTTGCTTCGTGGTTATTTTAACTTGAATTATAACATAAACAAACTTAATATAATTTAAAGTGCTGAGTAGTTTTGAAATGATAGAGTATAAAAAATATACACTAACGTCTGAATTTTAGTATATTCAATGTAAAATGACGATAAAAATTCGACATGGAGTATCGTGGAAACATATTTCTCTTTGGTTATATAGGTAAAGAAAGTTATTAATAAACAAACGACCCAATAGTAAAAAGAAAAAATCATAAAATCATCACGATTTTCTGAAGAGTTTGTTTGTGTTAGTGGAAAGCCCCAAAATAGAATAATTGCGCTGTGTTCACCTCAGGGATTGAGCCCCGCATTTTAGCGCTATAAGCCGTGAAGTTTATCAATGAGCCACTGGGGGAACTCTCTCTCAAAAAAAAAAACCTTTTTTTTTCGTGTAGTTAGAATTGGGGATGTGAAGTTATACAGAGAGTAATCTATGTGTGTTGTCTTAATAAATAAGAAATTCTGACAAATTAAATTAAAAGTATAAATTTACTTACCGTCCAAAGAAGCTATACTACCAGGAATTACATATATTAGTGGTGTACACCACACTAATATAATGTTCCTAATATTGTGTAACTTAACGCGTCTCATTATATTGATTGACAAAGTTTAATTCTAGTTCTTCTCAAACGAGCGCTTGGGTTTTATACTGACTCCTGTTATAAGGAAAATATAAAGCGATGACGAAAAGCTTTTAGCCTATGAAGTTATGTGGAGAGAGACGTGCACGTGCTGTAACTCGATAGAATATAGGCGGACGTTCCTACGGCATTCTATATACCACCTATCTCTCTCACACACACACATACGCATACCACGTACAGCAATCATGCAAATATAAACTTGGAAATAGCGATTTGTTTTTTTAAATTCTTCAGTAAATTATTTGTTTTATAGCGAACTTTCGACATATAACTGTTTGATTTTGATTTTAAACACAAATTTAAAAATCGACTCTTAAGCTAGAGATTATAGTTGATGAAATAACGAGAAGTAAAACGCAGATATTAATGAACAAATATGAAGTTATCAATGATCAGTAAAGCAGTTTCGTGTCTGCTGTTTAGATTTTAAGTTAAATAAATATTACTCAAGACAAAATAATCTCATCAGGCCCGGCATGGCCAGGTCGCGGGTTCGAATCCCCGTCCCACCAAACATGCTCATCCTTTCAGCCGTGGGGGCGTTATAATGTGACGGTCAATCCCACTATTCGTTGGTAAAAAAAAAAAAAAA